GGGTACGCCGTCGACAGTTGGTCGAGTCGAGTCTACCCCCAAATTAGTGCTGGACTCGCATGATCTAAGAGTTTGTGGGCGTTTGGCCGAACACCGATGCTTGAATTGCACCCGATTCGCGAGGATTCGAGAATCGGTGGAATCGTTGCGTGCCAGGCCGCATGCACCAATCGAGCTGCAGAAAGCGACGGCGGCACGATATTTCCCCTCACCCCAGATGCCGATTTGCATGTCGGAAGCTGCGGATGCCGCGATTCGTGTTGCTGCAGCCCTCGTTGAGGGCCATGACCCGCCTGATGAAGGCCAGGTTGGGGATGGGGAAGGTCGGGCTGGCGGCTGGCGTCGCCGCCGTCGGGGTCGATCGGGAGGTGCAACTGTGCAGCGAACTCGGCCATGGAGCCGAGAGGTTCGGCTCCGCGGCCATCTGCCTCTCTTGCGGTGCCTACAGTGTGGCTGGAGGCCACAGCCTGAAGCTTCGCGCTGCGTGCAAGGGCATGCGGCCGCGGCGCCAACGCGCGCCGACGAGGAGCTGCAGATTCCCCGCGCAACTCGCGGGCTCCATCCTCGGACTGGGGCCTCTTGCCAGTGAGTTCCCCCGACGCGAGGTCTCCGCCGTCGGCCTCCCGACGAGGTGGAGGCGCAGCTGTTGAGGGATTGCTGTGCGTTGCGGTGGTTTCTGGCCCCGCAATGCAGCCCTCTCTTTCCTGCTGAGGCAGGTCCGCACGCCCGGATTCGCTCTTCATCGCTGGCTGCTTCCTCCTCCTTCTGCTCCTCCTCCTCCTCCTCCGCGCTGCAAGAGGAGCGTCGGTTTCCAATTGCGCTCCTAGATCTCTGCTGTTGTTGTTGTTGCTGTTGTTGTTGTTGTTGATGGTGTTGTTGTTGTTGGTGTTGGTGTTGGTGTTGGTGTTGGTGTTGGTGTTGGTGTTGTTGTTGTTGTGGTTGGTGGTGCGTTGATGGTGTTGTTGTTGTTGGTGTTGGTGTTGGTGTTGGTGTTGGTACACGAAAACACCACTACATTACATACACACACACACAGCAACAGCAACAGAGCAACACAGGAGAACCTCGAGAGCGTTTTGGGCTTCCTGGAGGGCCTCTACCGCCTCCTGGAGCGCCTCTAGGGCCTCCTGGGGAGCCTGTGGGACCTCCTGGCGAGTGTCTCGGGCTTCATGGAGAGCGTCTTGGGCTTCCTTGAGCGCGTCTTGGGCCTCCTGGAGCGCCTCTGTGGCCTCCTGGAGCGCGTCTTGGGCCTCCTGGAGCGACTCTGGGGCCTCCTGGAGAGCGTTTTGGGTTTCCTGGAACGCCTCTGGCGCCTCCTGGAGCGCCTCTGAGGCTTCCTGGGGAGCCTCTGGGGCCTCCTGGAGAGCGTCTTGGGCTTCCTGGCGAGCGTTTTGGGCCTCCTGGAGCGCGTCTTGGGCCTCCTGGAGCGCCTCTGAGGCCTCTTGGAGCGCCTCTGGGGCCTCCAGGAGGCCTCAGGGGCGCTCCAGGATGAGGATGGGGAAATGTTGCACCTGCTGGTTTGATGCGACCTCCCGAAGATGTGTTCTTGGGACTCGGCATGGCGCTGCGACGCTTGACTTCATGGCCCGCGCAGAGTTGGCCGTCCGCCCCTTCGTCTTTCCCATCTTGTCGGACAGGGGCATGGGCGGAGCTGCCCTAGTCGGCTTTCGAGAGGAAATCTCCAAGGAGGCGTATCGCAGGATGGTGGGCGCCCAAGGAAGCGGTGGGGCCCTCTTTTCCATCCGCCCGTTCAGCCTGCCCTCGGAGCGGATCCTCGATAAACGGAGCGCTAATCACTGCGCCCAGGTTCTACGACGGGGCAGGCGAGCCCGTGGGCCCTCGAGGGGTCCTCAGGAACCGTGCCCGTCGGCAGCGTCAGCTAGTTCTGCAGAAGACAGCTCCCCGACTAGGTGCCGCGAGAGGCGCCGCCAGGGGGCTCAGCGCGGATCCGAGGAATCAGTGCGGAGTTCCGAAAGCGTATGTTTAGGATGTTGTTTTCCCACCTCGGGGACGGCGGCGGGAGAGGGGTGCCCGACTCGATTGAACCGGCCCGAACCGAGGAATGCGACCCGAAAGGCAGGTCTCCTGGCGCGACGAGGAGCACGTGACGCGGATATCCCCGCACGTGGTGCGATGCTTTCGCGGTACTTTTGAAGCCTCCTGGAGCCCTCCTGTGGGGCCTTTAGGGGTGTTGTCAGGATGTTTGGGGGATCTCAGGCGGCCTCTCAGGCGGAGGGGGGAGAGGGGGAGGGGGAGGAGGAGGAGGAGGAGGACGAGGAGGGAAAGGATCATTGGGAGGACGACCGCAAGAGGGAGAGGAGTGCGGGGAGGAGAAGGAGGAAGAGGAGGAGGAGGAGGAGAAGAAGGAGGAATATAATAAGGACGAGGATGCTGATGATGATGATGGCGATGATGAGGATGATGTTGATGATGGTGATGATGACGATGATGGTGATGATGAGGAGGAGGAGGTTGACGTGGATGTGGCTGATGATGATGACGATGACGATGAAGATTAGGTGGGCGAGGATGCTGATGATGATGACGAGGAGGAGGATGACGGTGCGGTTGAGGAGGGCGAGGATGACGAAGACGACGATGCGGAGGACGATGATGTGGAGGACGAGGACAGGGTGGCTGAGGCTTGGGGCGAGGATGGCCGTCGTCGTCGTCGCCGCCGTCGTCGTCGTCGTCGTCGTCGGCGTCGTCGCTCCGCCCCCGCGCACCGCCTGGCGTGCCCGCCCGGTGGGAGGGGCAGGGAGGTCGAGGGACATTAGCGGGACGCGTGGCGGAGGAGGACGAGGACGAGGCCGCCGACGACGATAATGATGATGATGATGATGATGACGACGACGATGTTGGTGATGGTGATGATGATGACGGTGATGGTGGTGAGGACGATGATGACGATGACGATGGCGATGATGATGATGTCGAGGATGACGATGATGAGGAATATGCTGATGATGGTGATGATGGCGAGGATGATGACGACGATGATGACGATGATGAGGAAAATGCTGATGATGATGATGCGAATGGTGATGATGATGACGATGACGATGATGATGATGATGATGAGGGTGGTGATGATGATGATGATGACCGTTGGGATATCGTGGGATGCCTGTCGGCGGCGTGTTTGAGGCAGTCCGAAGGTCTCTTGGTAGCCGTCTAGGGGCCTCTTTAGGGGTCTCCTGGGGGCCTCTTGGGGCTTCTTGCAGGCCTCTTGGTGCCTCCTGGGGGCCTCTTCGGGCGGAAGGCTCGGATTGTCGATTCGCGCCCCCCCTCTTCGCTGGTCGCCAAGGATGGGGGTGCTTATTAATAAGGAGCTTGTGGGAGGGGGCGTTTGTTAATACCAGCTGCCTGCGGCAAGTCCCGCCACCGTGCCAGGCCATGATGCTGGGCACCGCTCGTTCGAGGGGGCAAAGGAGGCCGTACTCGCGAGGGGTGCGCAACATGATGATGATGACGATGATGATGATGATCTGGATGATGATGATGATGACGACGACGATGGCGATGACGATGACGATGATGATGATGATGATGATGATGATGATGGTGGTGGTTGTGGTGGTGCTGATGATGACGACGATGATGATGACGATGACGATGCCGATGGTGATGATGATGAGGGTGCTGACGATGACGATGACGATGCCTATAATGATGCTAGTGGTGATGATGATGACGATGACGATGACGACGACGATGACGTTGATGTTGATGGTGGTGATGATGACGGTGATGATGATGACGACGTGGATGTGGCTGGTGATGATGATGACGATGATGATGGGGTGGACGAGGATGGTGATGATGATGCCGATGATGATGATGATGCTGAAGATGAGGATGCTGATCATGATAAGGATGATGATGAGGAGGATGACGTGGGTGTGGATGATGACAATGATGGTGACGATGATGGTGACGATGATGATGATGTGGACAAATATGCGGATGATGATGACGATGATGAGGAGGAGGAGGAGGGACGAGAATAGGAGGAGGAGGAGGAGGAGGAGGAGGATGAGGAGGAGGAGGAGGAGGAGGGTGAGTAGAGGTTTATCCAGCTGCCTGCGGCCTGCCCCGCTGAGGATGATGAGGGTGGTGATGATGATGAGGATGGTGAGGAAGATGGTGAGGATGGTGATGATGATGATGATGATGACGATGATGGTGATGGTGATGGTGATAATGATGATGGTGATGGTGGTGAGGACGATGATGACGATGACGATGATGTTGATGATGATGTCGAGGATTCCAAGTGCCATTAGTCCTACGACTCCTACGAGGCTTCCCAGTAGGACTACTAGGACTCCTACGAGGATCCCTAGTAGCATCATTAGGGCTCCTACGAGGATTCCTAGTAGGACTACTAGGACTCTTGCGAATATTCTTAGTAGGACTACTAGGACTCCTACGAGGATTCTTAGTAGGACTACTAATACTCCTACGAGCATTCTTAGTAGGACTACTAGGGCCCCTATGAGGATTCTTAGTAGGACTAGTCGGAATCCTACGAGGATTCTTAGTAGGACTACTAGGATTCCTATGAGGATTCCTAGTAGGACTAGTAGGACTCCTACGGGGATTCTTAGTAGGACTAGTAGGACTCCTATGAGGATTCCTAGTAGGACCAGTCGGATTCCTACGAGGATTCCTACTAGGATTAGTAGGACTCCTACGACGATTCTTAGTAGGACTACTAGGATTCCTATGAGGATTCCTAGTAGGACTAGTAGGACTCCTACGAGGACTCCTAGGAGGACTGTTACGGGGACTCCTACTTCGAGAATATCATCCTTACGGTTGTCGCAGTATTCCGAACAGGTGTAAACGAAGATCGCTGCGGAAGCTCGGCTCCACGGAACGTCTTTGGATGTACCAGTTGGGAACACTGCGACGACCGTAATGGTTGAACCTCTCTTTTTCTGTTTGTCGGGGTGTGTTGCTCTGTTGCCGTGTTGCTGGGGGGGGTTCGGCAACAGTGCACCAGTGAGGGTTTTCGCCACCGGAGCCGAAACCGGGAGCTGGCACACTGGCTCCCAGTGCGCCAGTGTGCGTTTATGCCTTGTTGTTGTTTGATGCGTGACGCCGCGAGGCAGTCACGAAAGTGACACGAGGGCTCCCCTTGTGCAGGACAGAAGACAGAGTGCTGGCCCCCTGCTCGAGCGGTTGGCCCGCTCTGGCGGAGGGCCCGTTCGGCGGAGAGCGCCGTGGCGATCGTGCTGCTGTTGCTGTCGTGTGGAGAGCTGCCCGTCGCGGCCGCGGTGCCCGACCGCCTCCCTGGGGGCGGAAAGAGGGCAGGAGAGCCGAGCGACGAGGAAGGAGGAGGAAAAAGAAGGAGGAGGAGGAGGAGGAGGAGGAGGAAGAAGGAGGAGGAGGAGGAGGAGAGAGCAGGAGGAGCAGGAGGAGGCAGGAGGAGCAGAGGAGCAAGATCTGGGGAAAAGGGTTTTGGGGAGGAGGAGGCGGAGGAGGAGGAGGAGAGAGGAGGAGGAGGAAGAGGAGGAGGGGAGGAGAGAGCAGGAGCAGGAGCAGGAGCAGGAGCAGGAGCAGGAACAGCAGCAGGAGCAGGAGCAGGAGAGCAGGAGAGCAAGATCTGGGGGAGGAGGATTTTGGGGAGGGGGAGGAGGGAGGAGGAGGAGGAGGAGGAGGAGGAGGAGGAGGAGGGGAGGAGCAGGAGGAGCAGGAGGAGCAGGAGGAGCAGGAGGAGCAGGAGGAGCAGGAGGAGGAGGAGGAGGAGGAGGAGGAGGAGGAGGAGGAGGAGGAGGAGGAGGAGGAGGAGGAGGAGGAGGAGGAGGAGGAGGAGGAGGAGGAGGAGGAGGAGGAGGAGAGGCAGGAGGTTACTCAATCAATGCCGGAGCAACGTCCACCAAATGAGGCGGGAGGGGGGGGAAGGGTCAGGAGGAGCGGCGGCAGCGGCAGGAAATGGCGAGGAGCGGCATCATGGAGGAACAGGGAGGCGAGGGGGGGATGAAGGGAGGAGCAACAAGAGGGCATGGCGAGCAGGAAGGAGGGCGGGTGGGATTGGAGGATCGGACTGACAGCTGGCGCAGCGGGCTCCACCAGCCGACGGTCCTCGCGAGCGCCAGTGCTCGAGAGCGCGCAGCTGCGTGTACACGGCGGGCGGGCGCGCGCGCGCAGTGCACGGCCAGGCGCGGTAGGAAGGAACGACAGAGAGTTGGGCTGCTCATTTGTTGTTGGTGCTGGGCCGCTCGCGTCATTCCTTGGCGGGCGCTCGCTTAGGCCCAGGAGTGGAAGAGGGATCGAGGATCGAAGGAGGAGGGGAGGGAAGGGAGGAGGAGGAGGCGGAGGAGGAGGAGGAGGAGGGAGGAGGGCGGAGGAGGAGGAGGAGGAGGGAGGGAGGTGGAGGAGGAGGAGGAGGAGGAGGAGGAAGAAGAGGAGGAAGAGGAGGAGGAAGCGAGGCGGAGGCGGAGGCGGAGGAGGAGAGAGGAGGAGGAAGAAGAAGAGGAGCAGAAGAAGGAAAAGACGAGGGAGGATGAGGAGGAGACGGACGATGAGAGGAGAGGAGGAGGAAGGAGGATGAGGAGGAGGCGGAGGAGGAGGAGGAGGATTGAGGAGGAGGAGGAGGAGGAGGGGATCTGCGAGCTTCAGAGGAAGCGGTGCCGCCTCCCCCGCACGCCCGAGAGCCCGCGCGCACGCGCACGCGACACGCGCGGTCGGGCGCCGCGGGGGCTCGCCCGATGGGCAAGGCCCCTGACCATACGGGGATCCTGAGGGGACAGGACCCCCGACCACGGGGGCCCTGAGAGGACAGGGCCCCCGACCGCGAGGCCGAACACGACGACCTTCACCACGCCGACCTTCAGCCAGAGCCGTCGCTGTCGGACTCGAGGGCGTCCTCGGTGTCCGCGACGACCTGCACCCAGGCGGCCTTGTCCCTGTCTTCGGCGAACTCGCCGTCCAGAAACCTCGCGCCCCACTCCTGCTCGTCCAGGGTCGTGGAGCTTTCTTGGCCCAGCGTCTGCTGGGCACCGTCGCCGAGCCTGCCGAGAGCGGCGAACACCGCGCGACTCCCGAGCTTCGCCACGATCGCGTCCAAGACGGGCACGAGCTCCGCCTCCAAGGACTCCACCAGGGCCGCGCTTGCCAGCTCGGCGGCCTCACGCTTAGCGACGCAAATCGCCTCGGTGAGGATCGCGTCGTCCGACTCCGCGCCCTGCTTGGCCTTCTTGCCCTTCTTCGTCTTGACGGCAGGGGCTGCCGCCAGCGGCGGCGAGGGCACAGCCGCCGCACTCGCCATACGGGCACCGCGCGCCGCAGCAGCCGCCTTCCGCCCCAGCCAGCCGCGCCAGCGCCGCTGCACCACACCAGCAGCAGCGGCACGCGCGGCGTCCGCCTTTCGCACGGTCTCGGCCGAAGCCCACGCCTCTGCCGTGCGATCCGCGAGCACCTGCGCCGCCTCCCAGCGGCCCGCCCGCTTGCCCTTGCCCTGCATGAGCCGCCAGTCGTCGTCGACCTTGCCGCTCATGCGCTCCATGTCGATGGGACGCACGGCCTCCACCAGCTGCACCTGCATCTGGCTCTGGGCAGCCGCGTTGCCCTTCGTCTTCAGCACGTCCTTGCCCCAAGGACGGGGGGGGGCGGCGGTGTGTGGGGGGGGGGGTGGGGGACGAACCCGCGCCCACACAGCAGGGGGCCGAACCCACGCCCGCTGCCGCCCCCTGGCGCCTCGCGCCACCAGTGTTGCTCACGTGCGACTCCTGCGCGCTGCAGTCCACGGGCGCCACCGACTGCTCGGCTTCTCTGCCGTCCACGTCGTGCGCGATGTCCTCGCACGGCTGCCCTTCGCCCCGTAGCAGGCGGAGCAGCTCCTGGCCCTTCTGGGCCTCCATCCCCATCGCGCCGCCAAGGCTCCCCGAGGTGGCGCCCTCGGAAACCGTAACAGCACCAGTCACCCATTGGTGCAACACCACGCCGATAACGCACATCTGTTGCTGCTGCTGCTGCTGCTGCTGCTGCTGCCCGCGCCACGGGCTCCAGGTCGCACATCCACACGTCGCGCACCAGCAGCCTCCATCGGGCAGCAAATCCTTGCCGCTGACGTCGAACGCCTCCTTGATCACTGGCTGCACCAGCCGCCGGTCCCCGCCGGGCAGCAGCGCCGCGCCGCCTCCACCAGGGAGGCTCATGGAGGCGAGGGGGGAGAGGACGGCCCCCCTGGGCACCGACAAACTGCCAGATTTTAGGTCGCGCGCCACTGCCAACGACGTGCCCGACCCAACCGCCCGCCGCGCGCCCAGAAGGAGACCCACGCGCAGGGCGGCGCCACTGAGCCAGACAGGCAAGGGGGCTCAACCCCCGTTTGGGCCCCGAAGGGCCAAAGCGGGGCTTGAGCCAAAATGGCTACGGAGGGAGGAGGAGGAGGAGGAGGAGGAGGAGGAGGAGGAGGAGGAGGAGGAGGAGGGGAGAGAGGGGAGAATGAAGAGGAGGATGAAGAGGAGGAGGAGGAGGAGGAGGAGGAGAAGGAGGAGGGTACTGACGATGCGAGCGCTGCTTCGCTGAGCGCTACTCGGCGCACGGCCGCGTCGCCCCAGTCACGAGAAGCTCTCCGCCTCCCCTAGGCAGAATAGGCTTGCTTAGCCCGGTCGTCGTACTAGTAGGCCCACTTCCTCCTACTAGTACGACCGCGGGGCGTACTAGTAGCCGTACGTAGCTGTACTCGTACGCTCGGCCGTGCACGCCGCAGTCGTATTAGTAGCCGTACGTAGCCGTACTCGTACGCTCGGCCGTGCACGCCGCAGTCGTACTAGTAGCCGTACGTAGCCGTACTCGTACGCCCCGCCCCGCACACAGCCGTCATACTAGTAGGCCTACGTAGCCGCACTAGTACGACCGTCCCTGCACTCCGCCGTCGTACTAGTAGGCCTACGTAGCCGTACTAGTACGCCCGCTCCGGTCGTACTAGTACGCGTACCTGGCCCTACTCGTACGCTCGGCAGGGCACGTCGGAGTCGTACTCGTAACCGTACGTAGCCGTACTCGTACGCCCGACCCGGCACACCGCCGTCGTATTAGTAGGCGTACGTAGCTGTACTAGTACGGCCGTTCTTGCACTCTGCTGCCGTACTAGTAGGCCTACGTCGCCGAAGTCGTACGCCCGCTCCAGTCGTACTCGTACCGGTACGTAGCCGTACTCGTACGCTCGGGCGTGCACGTCGCAGTCGTACTAGTCGCCGTACGTAGCCGTACTCGTACGCCCGAGCCGCGCACCGCCGCCGTATTCGTAGGCTCACGTAGCCGTACTCGTACGCCCGTCCGTGCACTTTGCTGTCGAATTAGTGCGCCTACGTAGCCGAACCCGTACGCCCGCTCCACTCGTACTAGCACGCGTACGTCGGCCATTTGGAGGATTTTCGGCATATTGGAGGCCTCCGCACCCGCTTCACAATGGCGGAATTTCTTTGACCGGCCCCGGTCTGGTCCTCGGTCCCCGGTCCCCTTGTGGCCTCTTCAATCGTGGACATGGGGAAGGAATGAGCCGGGAGCTTCGTGCGTGCGTAACTCGAGAGACTTGCGAGGAAGTCTGACGCGGGAGTCCCTCTGCATAACCCATCCCCTCCCTATACGGCCCGGGAGTCCTGTCTGTGAACGACTTGGAACTAGCCGCGTCTGAGCTGGTCTTCAGCACATTTGTTACCGCCACGGGCCTACGTGCCCGACAGGGTGACTGAGGAGCTGACGACGACGACGACGACGACGACGACGAGACAGCGGCCGGGCGCAGGGGTAACCTCTTGTGTCCGGGCCGGAGGTGGTAACCCATCCTCGGCCGAATCGGAGGCAGGGGTAACCCCTTGCCTCCGGGCCGCCGGTGGTAACCCATCGGCGGCCGAATCGGGCGCAGGGGTAATCCTTTGCGTCCGGGCTGGGGGTGGTAACCCATCCTCGGCCGAATCGGGGGCAGGGGTAACCCCTTGTCTCCGGGCCGCCGGTGGTAACCCATCGTCAGCCGAATCGGGCGCAGGGGGGAACCCTTGCGTCCGGGCCAGGGGTGGTAACCCATCCTCGGCCGAATCGGAGGCAGGGGTAACCCCTTGCCTCCGGGCCGCCGGTGGTAACCCATCGGCGGCCGAATCGGGCGCAGGGGTAATCCTTTGCGTCCGGGCTGGGGGTGGTAACCCATCCTCGGCCGAATCGGGGGCAGGGGTAACCCGCTGCCCAGCAGTCAGCGGCTGAGTCGGCGACACCTCATGTTGCGTGGGCGTGGCGCCATCCGGCGGGCGCGGCGCCCTTCCAGTCCGGCGCGGAGGGCATGGATCCAGATACTGTCTATACAGGAGTAGAGTCGGCATGCGAGGTGGGCGCGCCGTTAATCGTGCCAGACGAGGTGGGTGCCGACCGCGATGGGCAGCGTGCCGCCAACGAGAGCTGGTTCACAGAGTCACCGCTGAGGTTCTCGTTGCCTTTCGCGGGCGCGGGAGGGTTCGGCACCGGGTGTCATGGCGCGCGCGCGGTCGCGGCGCCCTTCCAGTCCGGCGCGGAGGGCATGGATCCGGATACTGTCTATCCAGGAGTAGAGTCGGCATGCGAGGTGGGCGCGCCGTTAATCGTGCCAGACGAGGTGGGTGCCGACCGCGATGTGGCTCCGACCGTTGTAGACTCCGCATCTGAGTCGGGTGCGCTATCGGTCGTGTGAGATGCAGCGGGCATGGGCCCATGGGGGTTGCGGTTTCGGGTTTGATGTTCACAGTGAAGAGCGGGAAAAGGTCTCATGGGTGGGGTTCACGCGTGTCAGGTGCCTGGTTGTTTAAGGGTGCTCCTGTTTCATTGTATGAGATTGTGGTGGTACTGAGTTTACGCTGTGCCAGGGTGGAGAGTGGGAGGCTTCAGGGAATGATTTTGCAATCGTTCTCCGTGAGAAAATGTTTCTCCGGGGTTTTGATGGAAGCGCTCTCGAGAGTCGCTCTGGTGAGGTAGCTGGTGTGAGTACCGTTGTGTACCGGATAATGAGAGTACGTTCGGGATCCTAAACTCCGCCGCGTCGGATACTTCTGGAAAGATACGTTTGGTCGGCGGAGGGGGCGGCGAGACTGAACTTTATCATCGCCGAGCGATGTGCGAATCGTAGGTGTAATCTTCTGAGAACGATTAGCCTTAATTGTGGTTGTTGGGGCTTCCGCGGGGTCGGCTTGGGGCTGCGCGGCGGCGACGATGACGACGGCGACGGCGGCAGCGCCGGCGACGAGGAAGTGGGAAGGACGGAGGAGGGGGAAGGGGGGGGTCGGGGGGAGGGAGAGAGGGAAAAGCG